TGGGATGGGATGGGATGGGATGGGATGGGATGGGATGGGATGGGATGGGATGGGATGGGATGGGATAGGATAGGATAGAATAAAAAAATAAAAGGCCCTGTGGATGACACAGGCTAGGACAGGGCTCAGGTCTGTTGTTCACAGGTTCGCTGTGAGCCGTACTTGACTAATGGCACCTAACAACAACAACACCAAGGACACACCGTTCCCCTCCCACACTCCTGGGCCCCCATGAGTCACTATCGGCCTGACAGCTGTTGGTTTGATTTCAGACACTGGAATTCTTATCTCTTCCCTGGAATCCTACAGAGCAGCACAGCCCAAATGTGAACCACAGTCCTTCCAGCCGTGGTGTCTCAGGGGGGAAAAGGGCTGGCGGCCGTAAGTGTCCTTCTGAAAAGCACTGTCCTGCTCAGACACAGGTGGGCCTCCCGGAGGTCAGAACAGACTCAGCCCCAACTGGTCCTGGGATTACCGTCCCCCCCGTGTTACGGAGGACACACCAGGAACACAGAGGGCGAAAACCCAGTGACCGGTGGAGGTGGGATTTGAACATAAGCTCTTTGTATCCAGAGCCTGGACTTACAGAGAGGCCTTAGTAAGAGCTCTGGTGGCCTCATGGTAAGAAGCTGCACTGCCTCTACAACAATGAATGAATGGAAATCCAAAGCCTCTGTAAATTTTCACTGAAATTAATAACAAATTTAAATTTAAAAAAAAGAATTAAGTTAGAGTAAGGATGGCAATGGAACCACCTTACCTCTGTAACTTGATTTGTGCCACTATTAGAACCTCTACTCAGAATATTATTGCTTTTCAATTTTTGACTCATGTACTTTTAACTTGTTAGTTAAATTTGTATCTTCTAGGCTGCAACACTTCCATGATACATCTTCAAGGATATGAACATGTACGGCTAAGCACAATTGATAACAGTGCATCTAAATTCCAAAATCAATCTCCATAATAGTCTATGTGTTTCCTACTGCCAAGGGGGCCCTTTAGAGTAGTGAGAGAAGACATTCACCCTGAAACCCACAGCGTCCCTTTTCAGCAGGAAGTAGCTAAGAGAATATGCCATCGCCTTTTCCTTATGAATCAGGGTGAAGTCTCTCTCAGGGAGAAGTGATAGGGAATGGCAAGGGACACACTGACAAAGGAGATTAATCAGAACTGGCTTTGACAGGAAGTAGCTAAGAGAATACGCCGTCCCCTTTTCCTTATGACTCAGGGTGAAGTCTCTCTCAGGGAGGAGTGATAGGGAATGGCAAAGGATACACTGACAAAGAAGATTAATCAGAACTGGCTTTGACAAGCACTGTGGCATTTGGACAAGAACAAACTGGGAGGAGGGTAGAGAGAATAGTGCAACAATGAATGAGTGGAAGCCCAAAATCTCTGTAAATGTTCATTAAAACTAATAAAATTTAATTAAAAAAAAAAAAGCTGCACTGCCATCTGAAGGGCATGCGGTTCAAATCCACCAGCGGCTTCACGGGAGTGCATGCAATCTCCTCCTGTGTGATTTACCACCTCTCAAAACTGATGGAGGCTCAGCTATGAGTCAGTCCTGACCTGAAGGCACACAACAACAACAACAACAAGAAGCAGCAAAGGTCAGGGAGCACTGGGAACACAGTCCAGAGCAGGATGAACTCTTAACCCAAAGCCTTTCTGGAAGTTCAAATCCAACAGTGGCTCTGGAGGGGAGAAGGATGGGCGAGCTCCCATCCTGTTTACGGCCTCGGAAACCCAGCGAAGGGTCAGCTGTGAGTCTGTTCCGACTTGACATTCACGGGAAAGCAAGACTCAGCAATCGTATGAACAACAGATCGGAGCCTCCGGGACCCCTGTAAGAGGGTGTAGGGGTGGTGAGCGATTGTGGGGTACGCAGTAGCCTGCTATGCTGCCCACCACCAGGCCAAGCTCTCTGGCCCTTCAATCCACCACCTGCTCTGTGGGAGAAAAGACGGGCACTTGTCCCCACTTTGAGATGTACAAACCCCTCTGAAGGGCGATGCGTTAAAACCGACCAGATGGCTGTTTGAGTTTGAGTTTTGAGTGTTTGAGGCAGAGAGCCTGGGTAGCGCAAGTATTAAGCTGTCATCTGCTAACCCAGAAGCCGGCGGTTCAAACCCACCAATAGGTTGTCCGGAGCAAGGCCGGGCAATCTCGCCTCTGAGAACTAACCGGTGCTCCCAGGTCAGCTGTGATGCCTACTGACCCCCTGGGACAGAGAGGAAATTCCTGCCGGGCTTTCTGAGACTGTATTTCTTTTTATCTGCGAGAAAGTGAATGAATTTGTATTTGAATGCAAGTTTGCAATTCATATTGGCTCTTAATGCACTCATTCATAGGCATTTTGCTTGAGAACATTAATTATCATTATTAGTGTGATTCGTTAATTACAATGCTCTACTTCTTTGTCATTAATTGCCATCGATTAAGGTGATTGACTAATTAGTTCCAATGCTGCAAACACTTTTCCTTTTAATTCCTTGCCATTGATTAATGCGATTCATTAACCAGGCTGTACATATATGTTTTAACTTGGCAGGGTTTTGGTTTTTAAAAAATTACATAGGTTTTAGGGGAGCTCTGGTGGCCTAGTGGCAAGGAGCTGCAACTACAATCCCAGAGGCACATGGTTCGAATCCACCAGATGCTCTGCCGGGAAAAGGAGGGACAATCTCCTCCTGTACCAGTCAGATCTGATTTGACGGTACACTCACACAAAAATTTAAAAAAAAAAAATACATAGGTTTGCAAATTGCATTAGCATTTCTTGCAATCCTTCATAACCATTTTGGGGTTTTAAAAATTTTTTAGTTAATTTTAATGAAAGTTTACAGAGACTTAGGGTTTTTCCAGTCCTTCATTGTTGCACGCCATTTTGGTTTTATGACCTTAACTGACCTTGGTTCATGAATTCACTAACCGCAGTCGACCCCTTAACCACAGCTGGAAGTCTTTACAGAAGCACAACGCCTCCTTTTTCTCCCGCGCCGGTTGGTGGATCCAAACTTCTGACCCTTTGCTTAGTGGTGCAACGCTTTACTGCGCAGCCACCGGGGCTGCTCTGGTAAAGAGGACAGCCTGAAACACCCCCTGGGGCAGCTCTCCTGTCACACGGGGTCACCGTCAGTGACCCAGCAATACCTGGAGTGTCAGAGGAGCCAGCTGTGAAATGACCAGTGACGTATGTGTGCAGATGCCAGCGGACAGTGGTGCTCAATAAATGCTCTGGGATGTCCCATCCCCTGTGTGAACTTTGGTCTTCAGGTAGCAAGCTAGCAAAACGCCTCACGGGCTTCCACGGGCCACGTGTGCCTAACTGTGTCACTCTCTGTCTCTCTGTGTCTCCTTCTCTGCCTCTCCATCTCTTTCTGTCTCTGTCTGTGACTCTATCTGCGTCTGTCCACCAGTCCCTAAACCATCCCGGACCCTGTGTCAATCCCCAGGCTGAACCCATAACCCACATAGCCGCACTGACCTGCCACATACAGCAAGCCTGGGATTGTCCCCGTGGGGAACCCCATAATCGTGTGTGGCTTTTGAGATCAATGTCCAAGCCCATGCTGTGGAATGGACATTTCCCTTCCTCGGGGGCCGCAGCCACATTCCCAGAGCCCCCCTGAGCCTGTGTGACAGGCAGGTGGCGGCCGTGGGGGACGCGCAGGGACAGAGTGTCCCCACCACTGGCAGAAAACTCTATGTAGGTCAACACGAGGCCATCAGCCCCGTTTTACAGGGGTGGAGACTGAGGCTCGGAGAGAAGAGGTGATCAATCAACTGTCTGCTGATGGTGAGAGGCCAGGGGCACCCAGGGATGAGGAATGGTACTGAAAGCCAATCACGAGTCTTTTGGGAGAGAAACAGATTGCATTTGTGTGTGTGCGTGTGTGTCTGATTTGCAAGCTCTTCTTAAATCTCCCCTTAGCCCCTCCCAATCCATTCTCCATTTCAGTCTTTTTCTGTGTTAGTCTTTCTCTTCAGTCTCAGCTCTCTGCTTCTGTCTGTGTGTCTCTGTCCCCCTGACTCCCTTTCTTTCTCCCCGTGTCTCTGTCTCTGTCCATCAATCATTCTGTTGCTGCCTCGCTGTCTCTCTGTGTGTCTCTGTCCCCCTGACTCCCTTTCTTTCTCTCCGTGTCTCTGTCTCTGTCCGTCACTCTGTTGCTGCCTCGCTGTCTCTGTCTCTCTGTTTGTCTCTGTCCCCCTGACTCTCTTCCTCCGTGTTTCTGTCTGCCCATCACTCTGTCTGTTGCTCTCTCGCTGTCTCCATCTCTCTGTGTGTCTCTGTCCCCGACTCCCTTTCTCTCTCCCCTCTCCCCGTGTCCCTGTCTCTGTCCATCACTCTGTTGCCACCTCACTGTCTGTCTCTCTGTGTCTCTCTGTCCCTCTGATTCCCTTTCTCTCTCCCGGTGTCTCTGTCTCTGTCCATCACTCTGTCTGTTGCTGCCTCACTGTCTCCATCTCTCACCGTATCTCTGTTCCCTGATTCAAGGCTCTCTGTCTTATCTCAGGATTTCACCTGCATCAACATCTCTCTTATGCTGGTCCCTTAGCCCTTCTGTGTTTTAGAGGTTTGCCTTACCCCTGTGTCCACCTTGTCCCTCACCTGGGTCCCCAGGCAGTCCCAGTCCCCCTCTCATTTCCCCTTTCCAGGCCAAGGGCAGGAATCTGGGCCAGGAGAGCTCCCCCTATCTTCCCAGCCCCCCTCCCCTCCTAGCCTTAAAAATAGCAGGAGAAATTGGGACGGACGCCGAGGGGGTGAGGGTGGGGGCTTGGCCTGAGGAGGAAGAACCAGGTGTCTGGGCACTCACGTCCGTCTGGGGGCCCTTCCCAGCGCCTGGACACTCGAAGGTCACAAATTCGTGGCATCGCCGGTGAACCACAAAGCTGCAGACTGCAGGTGGAAGTCAGAGTCAGGGACAGAAAGAGATACAGGTAAATCTAGAGATAGAGGGAACCTCAATACTGAGAGAGAGACACACACAGGTAAATCTAGAGAGAGGGTGACCCCAATACTGAGCGAGAAAGGGATACAGTTAAATGCAGAGAGGGGGACCTCAACACTGAGAGACACAGGTAAATGCAGAGGGGGCCCCCAACACTGAGAGAGAAAGATACACAGATTAATGCCCAGAGAGGGGAGCCCAATACTGAAACAGAGAGACAGGTAAATCTGAGACAGGACCCCAACAATGAGAGAGAAAGAGATACAGGTAAGTCCACAGAGAGGGGGGAGCACAGATGGGCGATAAGAGAGAGAGACCCTCATACTGAAAGAGAAAGGAACATAGGTAAGTCCAGAGACAGGCCACAGAAGGGAGATGAGAGAAAACTCAGGAGAGACAGCAGCAAGCAGAGACAGATCCCAGCATGCCAGCCTGAGAGCCCCACAGAGAGAGAGACCCCAACGGGGAGAGAGACCACTGACAGGAAATCCGCAAGATCTTAACTAAGAGAGACCCCAGTGGGGAGAGGGAGGCTCCAATAGAGAGAGAGAGAGAGAGAGAGAGAGAGAGAGAGACACCTCTGTGGGGAGAAAGATCCCCAACACAGCAAATTCAACAGGGCAGTCCCAAAGGGGAACAGATCACAACAGAGAGACCCTCATACAGAGAAAGAAAGACGTTAACAGACAGAGAAAGACCTCAGTACAGAGAGGGAGAATGAGAACTGGCCTCTCTACAGACAGAGACTTCAACGGAGAGAGAAGGGAGACACACCCCAGCACAGGCAGAGATCCTACAGCCAGGAATGAGAGAGACAGAGACAGACAGAGACAGACAGAGAGAGACACCTCCGGCACAGAGAGCGCGAGACAGAGACCCCAATAATAATCAGAGAAGAAACACCAACACACAGAGAGAATCAAAGAGGGACCCAGCAGAAAGGGACAGACAGACAGACATGGGCTGACACACGGAGCAGAGAGCCCACCACCCCCACAGGCAGAACGCACACGGGGCCAGGCAGACCCCAGACCCCAGAGAGAGAAAGACAGGGCAAAGGCGTGGAGGAGAAAGCAGACCCTCAAGCCAGGGCCAGAAGGAACTTGTGCAGGAGTGAGTGAGTCTGGGGGCGCCCGCGGCCGCCGCCCCCCACCCTGACTCACGCTGCTCCCCACAGCGGCAGCTGGTGCCGTAAGATTCGCACCGCCCCCCGCCCCGCCCCGCGCGCCCATCCCCCGGCCCTCCTGGGTCCCCACCCTCATCGGTGACCCCCACCCGGCCTGCCCCAAGCTCAGGACCGCTCCGGTTGCCATAGAGACGTCAGCCGGGGGGGATTGGGGGGGGACGACTCTGACTCTGCATCTCCAGCCCTCCCCCTCCCCCCTCCCCCCGTTCAGCTCCCCTTTTCCAAATCTCTTCGTTCCCATGGCAACAGATTCTCCAAATATCTGTCCCCACCTGGAGCCGGCCGAGGGAGGGCCACGGCACCTCCTCCGCCCAAGGCCCCGCCATCAGCGCCCCCCACCCTGAGGCGCGGCCACACCCCCCGCCCTGGGCTCCCCCGCGCCTCTCTGGAGACGGCAGCGCACGTGTGTGGAGCAGCCCCAGCGGCCGGCCCCACCTCCACCCGGGAGTTCCGGGGGTCCCGGGGGTGGGGGTGGGGTGGCCAGGACCCGATCTTACCTTGACATTGCAAGCCCTGCTTTCCTATGCCCCTGAAAGAGCGAGGGTCCTGGGTCAGCGCGGACGGGGCGCGGGACCCCCGCCCTTCTCCGTCCCCTGCTGCCGCCTCCCCAGCTCCCAGACCAGAAGTCCAGCCTCCTGCCCCTTCCTCTCCCACGGCTCAAAGGTCTGACTCTGAAACCCTCTCCTCTCCGGCCTCAGATCCAAAAGCCATCAGACCTGGGAGTCCTGGCTTCAGCCCCCTCCGACCTCAAATCAGAACTCTGTGCTTTGCGCTTCTTCACTCTCACGCCCCGAACCCCTCCTGCTTGAACCCCCTCTGCTACCCTAGAGCCCTTTCCTCCCCCAGACCAGAAGTCCAGGCGCCCAGCTCACCTCCCTCAGAGACCCGGGAGTCCTGACCGCCAGCCCCTCCTCCCTCAGACCCAGGGGTCCCAATCTCCAACGCCCCCTCCTTCAAATCAGGGAGCCCTGACCCCCAGCCTTCCTCCCTCAGACCCGGGAGTCCTGACCCCCAGCCCACCTTCCCCCGACCAAGGAGTCCGGACCCTCCAGCCCCTCCTCCTACAGACTAGGGAGTCCCGACCCCCAGTCCCTCCTCCCTCAGACCTGGAAATCTCCAGCCCCTCCTCCTCTGATTCTGACCACCTCCTCCTCCTCCTCCTTCTTCAAGCCCCCAAGTCTCTGCTACCTCAGCACCCACGCGTTTCGGGGCCCCCACCCCTCCTACTCCGGAGCCCCCTCCTCCCTGATCACTCCTACTTCAGGATCGAAGAGTCCAGCCCCCCTAACCCCTCCCTCTCCAATCCAGGCGTCCAGGCCCCCAGCCCCTCCTCCCCGCAGCCCCCTCCCCTCCGACCCCCCAGCGCGCCTTCGCCCCCCTCGTCGCTGGTTCTAGTCCACTCAGGTCCTCACCAGATGAAGTCCGTGCAGTGGCTGCAGAAGGTCGGCTGCTTGAAGAAGCGAGCGGTGAACTTGTGGCTCTTGACTTCGTGCACCACCTTCTGCCTCAGAGCCCCCTTTCTGCAAAACAGGGGCCGGGGTCCCCCCTCTGAGTCGCCCCCGCCGGGGCCCAGGCCGGCCATGGCCCTTAAGAGCGGAGCAAGAGGGGCGGCGAGCTGGCCTCCGGGGTGCAGAGCTTGGAACAGGTGGGAAAGGTGACACCGGGGACCCCAAGGCGGAGCGCAGCGATTGCAGGTAAGCGAGCGAGCGCGCAGCCTGGGGCGCACCCGGCCCGGCGGCCGCGCAGCGCGTGTGCGGGACGAGCCTCAGGAATCCGCCGGCGCGGAGCCCGAGGCACGGGCGGCGGCGGCCAGAGCGCAGGCACCTGCTGAAATGTGGGAGCCCCGGGTGGGGGGAGGCGTTACCATGACGACCGAGGGGCGGGGTTTCGCCCTTAAAGGAGCCCCCCCTCCTCCTCCCCGAGACGCACGGAGACCGGTGCCCTCCCCACGCGCACACGTGCGCACGCCCACTCCGGGGGCCGGCCGGAGGGAGGGAGGGAGGGATGGAGGGAGAGAGAGAGGGGGGCATCCGCTGAGCCGGGGGCCCCCCCAAACAATCTGTCGTCCTGCCGGCTTCCTCATCCTGCGGGATGCCATCGTGGGCCCTGCGTCTCCTCCGCTCTGCGCTCCAGGCTGGCGGTCACAACGCCAATCAACAAACTTTGTGTACTAACGGTGAATGGGGGAGGCTGGGCCCTGGTCCTCTGGGATGCTGCCTGCGTCGTTATTTCTCCCTGGGCCTCTGTGGATGTCTCTCTCATGATCTCTCTCCCTTCCTCGTGTTTCTCCACCCCCTCTCTCAGGGACTCTCGTGTTTGGGTCTCTGTATCTCTGAAAGTCTCATTCTTGCTATCTGTTCCTCTTCTGTGTTTCTCTTTAATGGTGTGTGTGTCTCTCTCCTCTCTCTTCTCTCCTCTCTTTTCTCTTCTCTCTCTCCCACCTCTCCTTTTCTCTCTTCTCTCTCTCCTCTCTCTCTCCTTTCTTCTCTCTCTCTCTCTTCCCTCTCTCCTCCTCTCCCTCTCCCCCTCCCTCTCTCTTCTCTCTCTCCCTCCTCTCTCTGTCTCTCTCTTCTATCTCTCCTCTGTCTCTCTCCTCTCTGTCTCTTTTTCTCCCTCTCTCTCCCTTCTCTCTCTCTCTCTCTCTCTCTCCTCTTTTTCCTATTCTCTCTCTCTCTCCCCCTCTTTCTCTTTCTCTTCTTTCTTCTCCCTCCCTCCTTCCCTCCCTCTGTCTCCCGGATTCTGTCATTGGCCTTTTTCTCTTTCCCTCTCTTGTCTGATCGTCTCTTTCTCTATCTGTTCCTCTTCGATCAGTGGATCTACGTGGCTCTCCCTGCCTCTGGGAATGAATGTCTGGCTCTAGAACCCTACATGCGTTACTTCCACTTGTGCCTGTCACGCACTCATCTTGTAACCCTCTCTGGTCCCTGTGTCACTGTCCTTCAAGCAGGGTCTTGATGTCCTCGCTGTGTCCTTGTGTATCAGCCCTCCCTTCCACCTTCCGCCATCCCCCACCCCCTACCCTGCCGTCTGTCTTGTGGCTCTGTCCCAGAGTCTCTCCCACTTCTTGTGTCTCCTTGCTTCTCTCTGGAAATCTCTTCCTTTATTCTCACTCTCTGACCCTCTCCCTCCCTCCGTGTGTGTCTCTCTTTGAGATTCAATCCCTCTTGCTCTCCCTGTCAATGTGTCTCCCCATCTCTATCTTGCTCTCCCTATCTCAAATACCCATCTCTCCCCTGTCTCTCCTCTCTCTCTTTCTCTCTCTCCTCTTCTGGTTCTTTCTCCCCATTTCTGTCTGCAGCTCACCCATCCCTGTCTCCATCTCCTCCACGTCTGTATATGTCTAGTCCTCATCTCTGTCTGCATCTTCCTCAACTCTGTCCGCATCCCCCCATCCCTCTTCCATCGCTGTCTACATCTCTCTCTCCATCTCCCCATCTCTGTCTCAATCTCCCCACCTCTGTCTGCATCTTTTCCATCCTTCTTTCCATCTCTGTGTCTCTCCAGCTCTGTCTCTTTTCTCCTCATCTCTGTCTGCAATTCCCCATTTCAGTCTGCAGTTCCCTCATCTCTGTCTCCATCTCCCCTTCTCTACCTGCATTTCCCCACCTCTGTCTGTATCTCCCCATCCCTCCTTCATCTCTCTCTGTATCTCTCTTAATCTGTCTTGGGGTGGGGTGGAGCTTGTGTGTGTCTCTCTCTCCAAATGCTTGCTTCATTCTCTCTCCTGCTCCTTATCTGTTCATCTCTGTGTCCTGTCATCTTCTGTTCCTAAAGGTGGTCTCTCTGAATGCTTGTGTCTGCATCCTTGGAAAGGAAGGCCCTTAACGAGAGGGACTTACACGGTGACCGCAGCCATGGGCTGAGTGTGTCATAAGATGGTACAAGATAGCACAGGGTTTAGATCTGTCGTTATGAGTCGTCCTCCACTCAGGGGCCCCTGACAACAATCTTTCTGCAATTCCTTCCCTCTGACCCACTCTCTACTTGCCTTTCTGGACCTGTGAATCACTCTCTGCGTCTCTGGGATGTGAGGATCTCTCCCTACTTCTAAACCTTTCTGTGATTCAATCTGTCTGTCTCTCTGTTTTGCTGGCTCTGTAATTCTGTAGCTGACTTTAGCTTCCCTGGGTGGTACAAACAGTTAATGAGAGCTCGACTGCAAACGGAAAGGTTGTAAGTTCTAGGCCACTCAGATCAACTTTAAAAAAAAAAAATAATAATAAATCAGCCTGAGAAAGGAAATTGCCTGAGCCTTAATACAGCCCAGGTCAGCTGTTTTCCTGGATCTTGGTCTCTAGGGGAGTCTCTTTCTCTCTTTTTTGAATGTTGGTCTCTTCTCACCTCCACCCTGCACACTCTGGCTTCTCGCACTTCTCGGTTCCGGGGGTGAGTCCCTCTCTGTTGCCAGCATCAATGACAGCGGGTCCCCGGGCTGGGCCTCGCAATGCATCCTGGGACTTGTAGTCCGCGCCTGCACGCCCGCCGTGCTCAGGGCGGGGCCGCGAACTTCCTCTCCCGGCGTGCCCTGCGGCGTGGGCGGGGTTTGGCGGCGCCCCGGGACTCGGCTTGCCCAACCCGCCTTCGCTCGTACTTTTTTGGGGTCGGGTTCTGGAATCCCCCAAAGTTGAAGGCAAGATGAGGGGAAACCCGGGTCTATTTTCACCCTGTAATGAGGAGGCGTATTATATCTACTGTTCTTCCAGATACCTGGCTTTGCCTTGGGACAAAGGAGAGAGTAAGGGGTGGCCCCAAAAACTGACCTAGAGATCCCCATCACATTTTTGGTCTACTTTCCTTGGGGTTCAGTCTCAAGGCGCCAACACTTCACCACCCCACCCCTCCCCGGTTCTGTACCCATTCTCTGCTGTCTTCTAGAAGGTGGGGGTTGGGGGACGGGTCACCCCTTAAAAAGGCTGGAGGGGGTTTGGTATCCGTCAGTTATGAAGTGGACCCTGCAGATGCCCATAGGAATGTGTGTGTTCACGGTGACCCTTCTGTCACTTGCAGTAGAGTCATTCGGCAGTGGAGTGCCATTTGTTGACCTACAGTGACCCCATGCGACAGAAGGCAACTGGCCTAATGCGATTTCAACGCTATCATTATGTAGGTCTATTGTTGGGTACCTTAGAGCCAGAACCACCCCAGAACTGACCCTCCAGCAGGTGTTCAGAGGCAGTGAATCCCTACCCATCTTCTCCCACTCCCAGAGCAGCTGGTGGATTCGAACTGCCTACCTCTGTGTTGCTAACACAATCAGAGTTGGAGGAAGACTCATCAGTAACCTTCATAATGCAGATGGCAGAGCCATGCTGGCTAAAAGTGTGGAGGACCTGAAGCACTTGCTGCAGAAGGTCAAACAGTGGAGCCTTCAATATGAATTGCATCTCAACGTCAAAAGACCAAAAATAAAAATAAAAGAACAAAAAATCCTCGCCAGTGGGTGGATAGGCAACATCATGATGCATGGAGGAGAAAAGACAGTGATTTCTTCTTACTTGAATCCACTATCAATATACTGGGTACCAGCATTCAGGAGATCAGGAGACATACTGCACTGGGAAAGTTTGTTGTCGGGGAATTCTCCAAATTCTTGAGGAGCAACGATGTCAGTTTGAGGACTAAGGTGGGTAAGATTCAGTTCATCGTCTTTTCAGTCACTTGTTAGGAATCTGAGAGCTGGACAGTGAATATGTGTGATAGAAGAAGACTTGATGCCTTTGAAATGTGGTGTTGAAGAAGAGTACTGATCATCCCATGAACAGCTAGAAGAACAAACAGGTATGTCTTGGAGATGGTGCAGCCAGAGTGCTCTTGCATACCTTGGGCATGTTGTTAGGAGAGTCTGTTCTTCGGGGAGGGAAGGCTGGAGGGACAGCAAAGGAGAGAAAGACCCTCAACCAGATGGATGTTGACACAGTGACTGCAGCAGTGGGCTCGAGAGTATCAAAAGATTGTGAGGACGGCACAGGCCAGGATAGGGTTCAGATCTGTTGTTCACAGGGTCACCTGGGTCATACTCAATGCAACAAGCTAACACACACACACACACACACACACAGAGAGATAGATTCAAGATAGGGCAAAGTTCAGAGCTATTGTTCATAGGGTCGCTGAGTGGTAGTCCACTCAACGGCACATAATAATAACAACATAAATATATTAATTGAGTTTCTGGTGAACATTTACACAGAAAACTAAGCCCCTCTTTAACAATTTCTACACACCCAAATGCTGGTCAGTGAATAAAGTCTGAGAACTGATAGCTTTGAATTATAGTATTGGCCAAGAATCTGGAATATATGAAAGAAAAAAAAAACCACACACACCACAAAACCAAACCCACAACAAAACCCAAGTGTGCCTGGGAATACAGCCAGAGTGCTTTTTAGAAGCAGGAACGGTGAGAGCTCATTGCGTCAAGTTTGGACATGTTAACCAGGAGGGACCAGTCCTTGGAGAAGAACACCATCATGATTGGTAAAGGAGAGAGTCAGAGAACAAGAAGACAGTCTGCCTTGCAATCCCAGAGGTACACGGTTTGAACCCAGCAGCAGATGCTCTGCTGGAGAAGGAGGAACAATCTCCT